AATAGAAAAACAGAAGTAGCTTGAGTCCTTCTGATCAGGGAGCTATCATACCAAGTCCAGGTCCAACTTATTTTTATATGGGAGATAGAAATATCCATTCCATTTTATTTCACCATTATTATTTGGATTTCCTGTTATCTGCGGCCAGATCTCATTCCTGATGGATGTATCTTCCCCATCAAAATTTGTGTACGATCTAGGTTTTAAATTCATCCTAGACTTTAGAATTAGAAAGCTTCACAAAGTTAAAAGGGAGGAAAAGCTGGGAGTAACTAAAAAGAGGCAAACATAATTAGCACAGGGATGATTCTAGAACCTGGCTCCTTATAAATGGGTTGGTAGTTAAGTCACAAGTCTTCATTAGATTCTGTTAGCCTAGATTCAATTATTTTTCTTTTTTTTTTTTTTTTAAATTTTTTTTTTTTTCAACGTTTATTTATTTTTGGGACAGAGAGAGACAGAGCATGAACGGGCGAGGGGCAGAGAGAGAGGGAGACACAGAATCAGAAACAGGCTCCAGGCTCTGAGCCATCAGCCCAGAGCCCGATGCGGGGCTCGAACTCACGGACCGCGAGATCGCGACCTGGCTGAAGTCGGACGCTTAACCGACTGCGCCACCCAGGCGCCCCGCAATTATTTTTCTTTTAAAGTATTCTATAATTTAAACTTATCACCAGTTAAAACTACTTTCCACTTTCATCCCTCCCTACTCCTGTCCAAATAATGACGTTTTACTGTTGCAGCCATTTAAAAAGCATTCAAATTTATTTAAAGTGACATTAAAAGGCAGTTAAAGAATTAACTTTGTGCCTGTATTTCTAAGTATATCAAAGATAGCCAAGTTAAAGTTTAAAAGTCACACTGAGCTTTATATTTACAAGTATTCTCAGGGCACCTGGGTGGTTCTGTTGGTTAAGTGGCCGACTTCGGCTCAGGTCATGATCTCGCAGTCCGTGAGTTTGAGACCCACATCGGGCTCTGTGCTGACAGCTCAGAGCCTGGAGCCTGCTTCAGATTCTGTGTCTCCCTCTCTCTCGGCCCCTCCCCTGCTCACACTCTTTCTTTCTATCCAAAATAAATAAGCATAAAAAAATTAAAAAAAATAAAAGTATTCTCTTAGTTAATACCAATATATCACATTTGCAATTATATGAAACAAGAGGCTAATGCCAGATACAGTTAGCTATAAATACAGTTTCCCTATCACAAGAGGTGGATCTTTTTACTTAAGTGGAAAGATGCTAGTGTGTCAGAAGCAGGACAAAGGAAGAGCTATTGGCAGACTTTGAGTAGTAAATGACCAGTCTTGACAACCAAACTGAATCAGGATTTAGGCTCCGAGCTGTCAGCACAGAGCCCAATGCGGGGCTCCAACTCACAAACCGTGAAATCATGGCCTGGGCTGAAGTTGGACGCCTAACCGACTGAGCCACCCAGGTGCCCCCAATCCAGTTTTATAAAAAAGTTTATCTCCAAAGAAAAGAGAGGAAGTCAGTTATTAGAGGAAGGTAAGAATGCTCTAAAAATTATTTGCACAGTCTTTTGGCAGAAAATGAAAACTGTATGAAGTAACAGATTGGAGTCCTGGACTTTTGTCCCCTCTAGCTTCATTTCCAACTTTGTTACATTACAGCTGAGTTTTATTATTGGCTCCTGACTATCCTGGGCTATCTTCTTCCCAGCCTCAATAGCTTAGGGAAAGGTAGTAATATGGTCACTAATTGTAAAGATTTTAGTATCATGAACTATGATGCATATTAGAGTATCTGATTATACATGCATAAAAAAGTTTATAGTGTCTTAGAGCCTAGGATAGGCCATGAGTATTAGGAAGTTTATGCATCTGTTTTCTAATCCTAGAAGTAGACAAGTTATTTTAATGTGAATTACAGGTACAAAGAAAAATCAATCTTGCAAGCATTTCAAAACAGTTAAGTCCTCAAAGTACATTTCTTAGGTCCTTGAAGTATACAAGGAAGTATAAAAAATATAGGTACCATTTCCTTTTAATTACTGTGAAGTCACAGAAAAAAGGCAATTTAGAGCCATGCTCAGAATACGAAATCTCTCCAAGAAGATTTGACTGTCTTTTGTTATTTCTTTCTTCTTTCGTCTTCATTTATAAATATATGCAGGTACACAGCTTTAAACAACAGGCCATTTGATTGGACCAGTTTTGATTTGATGTAATCAACAACCCAAAAGATACAAAATTTCCTGCTTACTACAAATGTGTGGACTCAAAATTAGGTAAACTGTTATTATTCTTCAAACTGGTCTCTTGGAGAATATAGAATGCTTTAGAACAAATTTAGCAATTAGTAAACTAAGAAACCAAGTAAGAGCAACATTACCATACTACAAAGACTTACACCAAACTACTGTAGTTAAATGCCATTGTTTTTAAAAGTTCCTCTTATATTCTAATATTTATTGGCTGGTATTGTGCTAACAACTTCATAAGGAAGAGAAAATTTAAAACACTTTAAAAGATTTATTGACAAAGACCAGAATATACCTTGTTATTTTTCAGGTATGCGATTACTTTATTATCACTTTTTTTCATTGAGTTTTAAAGACCTGTATACTGATATGAAAACTGAAATTTTGTGGAATTCAGAGTTCTCATTCCCTTTCCTCCTATAATAATCTTATGACATTAAGTTAAAATGGTTATAATAGACTAGCTTGTCACTGTAGTTAAGTATAAAAATGTATACAGTTGGAAGAGCAACATCAGATAAATGGAGAAAATTTAATTCTGAAATAATTTTTCTCCATGAAGTTTAATTCACATCTTAAAATATAAAATCTTCAGTGTATGTAGAGCATAAAATGAAACAGTTCTGATTCAAATTGAGAACTCTTTGTTTTTTAAGTTACACATCACTATTATTTCAACATGACTTATGTTATGCTTATGTATTAAAATAGATGTTATCAGAGATGAAATATTTACAAAGGTGGTACCTGAAGAATATTTGTATGTTCTCTATATAATGACAGAAAACCAGTTGAAAGGCATATTTTTGAAAGGCTAGAAAAGCAATTATGGAAGTTTAGGTTTCTGTGGAAAAATTCTATCACAGCATGAACATCACTAATGATGATTTATTAGGAAGCACTGGTTAGGAAATGTTGGCTGACTGAATAGCAAGGATAGCTAATTAAGATTCAGGAAAATGGGTTTCCGATAGTAAAATAACTATTGACAAAAGATCAATGGACTTAAATATATACTGGAAGGAGATCACCAGGCTTCAAACCCCAGCATGTCAATTACTGCTGTGTGACTTCAAAGTGCCTTTCTTGAAGGTCTCAATGGTTAGGTCCCATTACCTTTAAAATGGATAACAGAAGCCATCCCAGAGCTATTTTGAGTTCATTCAATACGATAATCCACGTAAGGTGCTTACTACAGTGCCTGGCACCTAATGACAGTTTGCCATCACCACTGCAACCTTGAACAGTTCTATTATTTGACCCTCAGTTTCCTTCAATTAAAATACAGGTTTGGGCTGGATCATTTCTAATGCCTTTGCCCATTCAAAATTAAAATCTACAATGTAGAAGAATATATAGGGCCAACTCTATTTCCAAAGAACATAAATTTAGATCTGTCACCTTGGCATAATTAAGGACATGGTAATTTAAATGCTATAGAGGAATCATATTTTTAAGTCAGTCCTTTCAAATTAGTTATAATTACTACACTTATTAAGGCCCAAGTTATATGTATTCTATTTATTCCCAAGAAATCCATGATCTTCCATCAACTATCATGCTCAGGAACTACAATTCTTCCAGAAGGTAAAATGGCAAAACTAACATAACCAATACGATCGTAAGGGGAACATGAATGTCATGCAATTTATTATGATTTTAGTGTCTACTTATGATTATAATTTTGGCTTGTTACTACAGAATAGCTAAATATATTAATTTGGTGCCTACAACAATATCTGAAAAGTCCTAACAGGAATCTCAAAAGGAAACTGAAAACAGTAACAACAAATACATTAGGATTAACTATAAGAACATTTCACATCTCTAGTTACTTAACAGAAAAAGTAAAGGTAATGAAATTTTTCAAATATACAATCCAGGAAAAAAAAAATTAAATACTGTTTTGAAACTGCCCCAAATCTAAAAGTCTAACAAAATCTCTGTACTGATATGTTACAATTCAAAATTCAAATGACACATAAACTTTTTAATCACAAGAATATTAAGATTCGTTTTAGTTTGAGTCATAAATATTTTTTTTAAAAATCTGAGTTTTATCATAATATCAAGATTAAAGAAACATATCCCACATGTTTCTTGGGGGCAAACTACTAATGTCCATACACATATTAACTGTACACGAATCCAAACAAATAGTACATTTAATAACAGACTTTTTTTTAATAGTTGGAGAACTCTTTCATATACTTTCAAAATCACTATTAAGAAATGTAAAAAACCTTTTTAGTTTTTAAAAAATATTAAAGGTGTGTGTGATCACCTTTTAGAAATTATCTAAAAATTTAAAAATGTTTTTCCAGATAAGATATGACTGGGGAAAAGAGTTCTCGTTCACCTCAGTCAGGTACCAGCATGAAAGGCCAAAGGAATTAAATTACATTTTCTCATCCATGTAAATGTTTGGTTATGTTCATTCTTAATATACAACGAACAAAAGCATCCACCTGACAACTTAATAGGGTCTCAAACCAGAAAACACGTTTCCTACTCAATGCTCATACCTTGTTTTTATATTAGCAAAAATGGGGTTAGTACCCTGGGAATTAAAAAAAGGAAAAGATTCATCTTAAATTCACAGCTGTGAGAACTTCGGCCTCCCTTCCATAAATTTTTATCTTCCACAGATCTTCACACATCATACTTGGCACAAGTGCCGATCATTCAAGAAATTTTAGTTTTACCTTATAGTTAGTTCAGCAAAAGTAGTTGTGTAAAGTTCATGCCATTAAAATGAATCTACACTGTATCCTTACCCTCAATATTTAGCTCAAAACAAACGTGGCAGAAGGAGAGTGTTTCTTTGTCTGTTCCCAGTTTACAAACACTGCAAATGTTGTCATCATTCAAATCAATGTTTACAAACTGCTCCTCTTCGTTCATAGTGCCCCTGTTAAGAAACAGAAAGGGTAGGTTATGCAATTTCAAGAACTTGACGGTATGGCAATAACAAGAACTTCTAGGGGAAGGATGCTGTTTATCTAATGTCACAGCCCCATCAAACAAGCATCGCCATGCTTGTACTTGAGTATCACACTTTTATCGCGTAAAGTCACAAAGCTAGTAAAACTTAAAGCCTTGCCATAGGCGTCACTAAGCCTGAGCGCCTTTTTTGATCTCGTACTTCATTTGGTTGAGGAGGTGAGCTGAAGGAAAGCCGTTTGCGGGTGTTCTGCTCTGCCCCATCCCCGGTCCTGGCACTGAATGCTTAGCAGCGCTGCCAGGGGTCTTTCAACCTACTTCACACTGTTAAATTCAGGAAAAACGATCTCTTCGGGACACTGTTTTGCTAACTTCATTGATGGGTTTCGCTAACTCGATGTAGCGAGGCTTCCTATCAGAGATACGCGGCAGAAAAACACACGTGCCAGCGCGAACACCCGAAAAGGGCGTCCCGGCAGCGTCCAAACGACCCGCACCGAAGGCCGGGCAGCGTCTCCACCGCACGGGTCGGACACGGCCGGAGCCGGGGTGTCCAAGCCGAGCTCGTAGGAGTCTTGGGGACCCCTCGCCCTGGACTTCTTCCCACCCAAGAAGGCGTCCAAGTGCCAAGGCAGCCGGACAGCCCGGGACTCAACGCCTCGGGGAGCCAGGCCCCCACTTCACATCCGGCGTTGGGGGGGCGCGCCCGTCCCTCACGAAGCCGCGGACCCGAGTCCGACTCTCTGTCCGTCCAGGCGCCCCGCGATGAGCAGTGCGAAGGGCCGCGGGGCTCGGAGCGCGAAGGCGGCGGAACCGCGGGATCGCGGGGCCGAGTCGCTTGCGGGTCTGGGACCGGGACGCGAGGTCTTTACCGTCGGCTCCGCGCGCCACAGCAGCCGTTCCGCACGGCTCGGGCTCCTCCACTATTGTTTCCGGCCGCAGCGGAGGCGGCCGCAGCAGAGGAGGCAGCGGCGCGCCCGGCCCCGCCCCCTCCCGCCGGTGCCATCCCGCGGAGGCTGGTAGGGGGACGCGCCGGGGGGGACGCGGCCGAGAGCAAAGCTGCGCGCTGGCCAGGCGGCTGCGGGCCCTGCCTTTCTCCGCTTGCTCCGACGCCGCGTTCTTGGCTAGGATTTTCTCGTGATTCCGAGTCTCTTGGCCCACATCTCTTACGGTTCTCTGGAACGTGGCTGCTGATACACCCCCCTCCTTGAGGCAAGTAGATACCGGAGTCCGTTACCACCTCCCCCTTCAGCGTAGTGGAAACTACTGCCCTCGGGCGGGGGCCGCAGGGGGCGGGGGCAGAAAAGTGACGAATGGATCGGAGAAGGGGACAGAAATGCGTGGGTAGGATTTTGTTTGAAATCACTAGACTGAAAAAGTAGTATCACTGAATGTCGAGTTAGGTTCCAGTTGAAACATTTAATAAGGGAGAAGTTCAGATTTCAGGTTTCATCCTTTAGGGATAATGTTAAATACAGAAGCTTACTTTTTAAATGGGGCTTCCCTTCCGTATAATATGGTCTATTCCTTGCACGCCCACGGGATAATCCCAGAGCCCCGCCTCATATTTTTAGGTCCCGCCTTGTTCTCAAACTGTGTGGTACTTGAAATCTTCTGTCTACTTTGCTTGACATTTTAAGTCATTATTTTTTTAAGGTTGTACTTCGTGCTATACTTTCGCTTACATTTTCTGTTGTAATCTTCACAACAGTTTAGGAGAAACCGGAACTATTCTCTCATTTCATAGCTATGAATGACTAACTCAGATTATAGTTGGTTAGAAGCAGAACTGGGACTTGGACCCAGGGCTGCCTATGTAAAATCACTGTTATTTTCCACAGCATCATAAGCACCTGCACTGGTTACATTCACAGACAGGAAGCGGGCTGGGTTGTCAGTCTGCATGTAAAGGATGATAGGAATGGATTCCATAGATCTGCGAAACTTCTAGACCAAATTGGCACTGGATACAAACCATCGATGCCTCAGTAATGTTATTTGTGTTCTTGCTGCTTAAAGTGTAGTGGATGAACCAGCAGCATCAGAATCACCTGGTGTTTTGTTAGAAATGTAGAATCTCAGATCTTACCCAAGATTTCCTGAATCAGAACCGGCATTTTAACAAGACCTTTAGGTGATTCCTATGGACATTAAAGAAACATTTGAAATAGAAGTTTGAGAAGCATTAACTGAAATAGAATAGTCTGTGCCTTTTCTATTTGAATTTTTCAGTCTAGGTAAGTATAACCAAAATGTCTTGCATCATGGATTCTACACATCTTTTCAATAAAGGTGTTTTCTAAAATCACACTTCTTGCAGTGAAACAAGTTCTTTTCATTTCTCAGAATTATCTTACTTCCTGTGGCATTTTACCCTGTTAATTCTCCTTAAAACTCCTGACCCTTCTTGTTGTTGTTTAAGTCAAGAAATACAGGCCTAATTTACAGAAATAAAATTTTCCTATTTTAAAAATAGTCAGTGAATTTCTACAAATGTACACACTGTGTAACCACCACGCCAATCAATTTATTGAACCTTTCCACAACCCCCAAATTCCCTTATGTCTCTCCCAAGTCAACCTCCCCCCACCTCTGATTTAATTTATATCCTTAAAGGCAAGTTTTGCCTTTTCTAGAACTTCACATACATGGAGTTAAACGGTATGTATTCTTTTGTGATTGGCTACTTTCATGCAGCATGTTTTTGCAATTTATGATGAGCTTTGTAGTAGTTTCTTTTTACTACTGAGTAATATTGCACAATTTGTTATCCCTGTGAGTTGTTTCTAGTTTTGGAACTATTATTATAAAGCTATTATGAATATTCATTTAAAAGTCTTTTTGTGTTTTCATGTATTCTTTCTTTCAGGTAAATACCTAGGAGTGGAATTGATGAGTAATATGATAAGTGCATATTTACTTTTTTTTTTTAATTTTGTTTAATGTTTTTATTTATTTTTGAGACAAAGAGAGACAGAGCATGAGCAGGGGAGGGGCAGAGAGAGCAGGGACACAGAATCCAAAGCAGGCTGCAGGCTCTGAGCTGTCAGCACAGAGCCTGACGTGGGGCTCGAACTCATGGACTGCGAGATCATGACCTGAGCTGAAGTCGGACGCTTAACGGACTAGGCCACCCAGGCACTCAGTGCATATTTACTTTTAAAAGAAATTGCCCAAGTGCTTTCCCAAGCAGTTATACCATTTTTTAAAAAATGTTTATTTGTTTTGAGAGTGGGAGAGTGAGTAGAGGAGGGGCAGAGAGAGAGAGAGAGAGGAAGAGAGAGAATCCCAAGCAGGCTGCATGCTCACCATGGAGCCAGGTGCAGGGCTTGATCCCATGAACCATGAGGTTATGATCTAAGCTGAAGTCAAGAGTTGACGCTTAGCTGACTCAGCCACCCAGGTGCCCCAGAAGTTATACCATTTTATGTAGTTAGTGCTGTTATGTCTTCTTGATGAATTAATCCTTTTTATCACTATACAATTTTTTTATCTCTGGTAATAGTTCTTCTGAAATCTGCTTTCTCTGATGCCACTCCTGCTTTCTTATAATGAGTGTTTGCATGTGTATCTTTTTCTCTTTTTTTACCTCTTCTGTCTTTATATTACTACATGTGTTTTTTTTTGTAGACAAATATAGTTGTGTCTTGCTTTTTAAATTCAGTCTGACAATCTCTGTCTTTTAATTGGTGTGTTCAGTCCATTTATGTTTAATGCAATTATTGATATAGTTGGGTTAAGTCTACTATCTTATTATTTGTTTTCTATTTGTTCTATATGTTCTTTGTTCCTTTTACCTTTTTGCAGGGCTTCTTTGGATTAGTTGAGTCTTTTGTTTTGTTTTGTTGTTTAGTATTTTGTCTCTTCATTTTATCTCCTCTATTAGCTATATTTTATGTGTGTAGGGATTGATGGATATATTTATGTATTTTGGGGCTGAAAAATATCTGGAGTTTAGTAGATTCATCTTTAACTTATCACAATCTACCTAAAATAATATTATACCATTTTATGTAAAACATAAGAAGCTTATAATAATATATTTCTCTACTCTGATCATTTATTATTGTCATGTATCTTACTTCACATGTGTTATACACTCCAAATACATTTTTTCCTCAACAAGCTATATTTTAAATAAATTTAATAAGAGCATGAAATAAGTTTTATGTTTACCCACATATTTACCAATTTCAGCATTCTTCATTCCTTTGTGTATATCCATATTGCCACTGGTATTTTCTTTCCCCTGGAGAAATTTGTCTGACAAATTTTATTTCAGCTATCATTTGTCTGACAATGTCTTTTTCATTAATGTTTATTTGGTTTTTTTCTTTTTTTTTCAATATATGAAATTTATTGTCAAATTGGTTTCCATACAACACCCAGTGCTCATCCCAAAAGGTGCCCTCCTCAATACCCATCACCCACCCTCCCCTCCCTCCCACCCCCCATCAACCCTCAGTTTGTTCTCAGTTTTTAAGAGTCTCTTACGCTTTGGCTCTC